ATCGTTTTCAGTTAAAAAACTGTTACATCACACGTATATTTTACCTAAACTGCGCCTGAATGAATATATTCTCGGAAATAAATAGTAGTTTTGCTGAAACGTGATGTATTTTAATGTAAAATAGGATAAAATACATAACGAAAACAAAAGATTTTACCTAACCTTCCGATATTCAAGAGAAGTTACTCGTTTTTTCAATAGTTTTCGGTTAAAATACTGTTATATTAAAATGATATTCTATTCATACTGTGCTTGATATAATACATTCACGGAAATGTAATATTTTTCTTGAAATTACATACGTATTACAGTGGAAAGTGGGATAAAATCGTGACGAAAACTGACTGAAATATAATGCAATATTAACCCCTAAATCGGTTAATTCGGACAATCGGCTAAAACGGACACCCTTCCCCCCCTATTAGTCCGAATTAACGAGGGTCAACTGTGTGTATATATATGTATGTAAGTTTCCATACAACGTATCACCAACGCCATTACAAGCATAACTCCAGCTGTGCTTGAACGTGTTCTTCAGCAAACAGGGACACATTTGAAGAGTTTTTATTCAATGGGTAGTATGTAGCATATTTATAAATTTAAAATGTTTTTTATAAAATTTTTTATATGTATATGGAAATATATATACACATATATATATATATATATATATATATATATATATATATATATATATATATATATATATATATATATATATATATATATATATATATATATATATATATATATATATATATATATATATATCATCTAACTCTGCTTGATTTTGCCTGATGTATATTGCTTGTCAATTTGTATTTCCTTTAGGAACATATGCAGACATTTCTCATTTTGAGATAGTGGATGACCTGCAACTCTAGAGAGGAGGAGAGGAAAATTTATTAGTTTAAAATCCTCACTCTTGATTTAGTCTACATCCCAATAGAATTTAATGTTTAAAACATATCAGGATTTTGTGATATACAAAATTTTCACAACAGATTCCAATAATGCCTAAACTGACAGACAACTTACTCAACTTAAAAAGAATCAAGCGGAGTGCATGATACATGTAAAATTATTCAATCGATATAAATCATAATACTAATAAGGAAATTTTACTTCTAAAGACAACTTCAGTTTACAAAAAGCAGATGACACTATTCTGAACGTCCCAAAATCTCTGGCCATGCTCACAGTCTTTGGCATAATCGTCAACTCTGGGATTAATGTGAGGCAGTGTTTGCCTAGTGATTGTGGAATTTAAAAATGTAATATTGTCTTGAAACGACCCAGGTTCAACAACAGTAAAAAGGAAGACGAACTGTTATATTATTCAAGGAGCAAGTCTTTTTACACTGCACCCACACTGATTATTTGTTTAAATGGGGAGTCACAGAAAAATCAAATTTTCATTTATTATAACTGTACAGTACAGTGGTCCCTCGGTTAACGAGTTACCTTCCATAGCATTCTTAACTTCGGTTAACGAGCAATACCTCGATTAACGAGTTTCTTACGAGCCGACCTGAACATGTTTTCGCTTGCACTAGGCGGTCAACCAGCTGTAGTATTAGTCCGCCAATACAGTAATCGGTTCTAGGGCTTAAATTCTTTACTATTTTAGTAAATATCAAGAAGTATATACAATTCAATAATTTTAAAAGTTTAATATTAAATTGTTTAGTCATTTTAACAATTATTGAACATAATTGAAGGTAATGAAACTAGTTTTATGCGCGCCATCCAGCCTGTCAACACACCAACAAGCGTTAGTCTCTGTCTTTTCAGTGAAGGTAACATCTTGCTCGAGACTCTCTTCAACTAAACGCTTTTTTTGTGTTTCCAAGCAAATTACTGGTCATTTTGAAATTTATTTTACATATTGACAATATATAGTGCAGTGTTATTTTAAAGAAAATATTCTTTATTTACAGCAAGTTTAAACTTAAAATATCACGTGTTGGGATTGTTAGAATCCAGCAAGGGGCCTAAGAGATGAAGAAAAGCAATTTCAATCCAAACTAAGCAGGAAATTATAAAAAAAAACATGAAGGCATTAGAACAAATGCGCTATGCAAAGAATATGGCATGTCGACATTAACTGTGTCGACAATTCTTGCACAGAAAGAAAGACTTAAATAAGTGAAAGCGAGAGAGAAATCTACCAGTGTGTTTAAAGGTAGATCCCTAATTGCAGAAACAGAGAGGTTACTTCTCATCTGGATTAGGGAAAAACAGATGAAAGGTGACTCAGTTTCCACTGAATTTATTTGTGAAAGAGCCAGGGAGATATACGAACATTTAAAGACAGATCAACCTGGTTCTTCAGGCACAGAATTTGAAGATTTTAGGGCCAGCAAAGGGTGGTTCGAAAAATTTAAGAAAAGAAGTCACATTTTCAGTGTTATTAGGCATGGTGAGGCTGCTAGTGCTGATAAGGAAGGGGCAGCAAAGTTTTTAGTGGAGTTTAAAGAACTGGTGGAAGAAGAAAATTATCTTCCACAGCAAGTGTTCAATGTGGACAAAACTGGGCTGTTTTGGAGAAAGATGTCCAAAAGAACATTCATCACCAGAGATGAAGCCTCTTTACCTGGGCATAAACCCATGAAAGACTGTCTCACTCTTGCTTGGTGCCAATGCTTCAGGGGATTTCCGACCGAAGCCTATGCTTGTCTACCACTCTGAGAACCCCAGGGTGTTCAAACAACAAAAAGTGGTAAGAGGAAATCTTGGAGTTTATTGGAAGTCCAACCGTAAAGCATGGGTGACAAGACAGCTCTTTAATGAATGGGCTGTTGAGGTGTTTTGCCCTTCTGTGAAGAGCTACCTAACCACCAATAAACTCCCTTTAAAGGCTCTTATCCTCATGGATAATGCCCCTGGGCATGACCCTGAACTTGCCAGAACTTTTGGAGTATCAATTTGACTTTGTGAAAGTGTTGTCATTGCCTCCCAACACTACATCAATCATACAGCCAATGGACCAGAATGTGATCAGCAACTTCAAGAAGTTGTTCATGAAGAAAATGTTTAGGAGGTGTCATCAGGCAACTTCCACTGATCCTGAACTAACACTGAAACAGTTCTGGAAGACACAATTCAACATCCTGGAGGCTGTAAAATTGATTGTGTCATCATAGCAAGAAGTCACCCACTAGATCCCCCAATTCTTCATGGAAAGCACTGTGGCCATCAGAAGTCCATGATTTTGAGGGATTTCAGGATGACACAGAGTTGGACCAGGAGATTGTGTCCATTGGTCAGTCATTGGGCCTTGAAGTGGAGGAGGATGATGTCGAAGAGCTTGTGATGTCTCATGAGCAGGAACTTACTCCTGAAGACTTGCAGCAACTGGATGAGATGTTAGAGGCTGACAATGGTGAGGAGGAAAAGGAAAGTGATGACCATATGTCAACTGAAGAGTTGAAAGATGTTATTTACTATTGGGAGAAGTTCAGGAAACTGGCTTCAAGGCACCCAGATGTGGAAAAAGCTGAACTAACTTTGTGTCATGTTGAGGACAAAATGGTCTCCTCCTTTAAACATAAGTTAATGATGAGGAGGAGAGATGTCCCACAGACCACAATTGACACTTTCTTCAGTAAAAAGCAGAGGGAGCAAGATGCTAGCCCTTAGCCTTCCACTTCAAGAAGGAAAGAGGATGTTCCTGCTGGTGAATCTGTCAGTCCAGAGGTTCCTGACATTTTCATGGAAGGTGACTCGCCTTCCAAGAAGCAGTAAAATGCTTCTCCTCCACCCCCACTTCCTTCCCTTCTCCTCCTCCACCTCCACTTCCTTCTCTTCTCCCTTCTCCTCCTGCACCTCCCACTTCAAATTCACATCAGCATCATCATCCAGGAGCCTTCTACATACACACTTCAAAGTAAGTGTACTTTACTACCTTTTTTGTTAAATTTAGGCAATTTTCAGTGAGCTGGAACCAATTACCCAAAAACCCATTGAAAATGGTTTCGGTTAACGAGTTTTTCGGTTAACGAGCAACCACCTGGAACGGATTGTGCTCGTTAACCGAGGGACCACTGTATATATATAAACATCTAAAACCAAAAATGCCTAACACTGAACCCATTCTTATCACATTTGTGTATCAGCGTGTGCCAATTTCCCCTTCATTTGTCTTACAGTTGCAGCCAAACAGAAATGTTCAAGACAGCTCCAAATTTTGGGGGGTACTGTAAACAGCTGACCGAAAAACACTGGAACAGTATTGCCATTTAATCTTAACAGTTAATCAATATTAACCAGTACAATATTTGGAAAGATTTTGAATAACAACTGCTGAAGTATGATACAATTTACGTAGTTACAAGTCTCCAGCACCACCTTCAATTACATAAGACCTAAATCCATCAAGAGTTCCCTTAGCCTGCACTAAAACATTCTTTCGTTCTTTTAAACATGCATATCTCACCTTTTTACATAGCTTTCAATGGCTTTTTAGATTCGTTTAGCATGAAACCTTTTAGACCACATCTCTCATATTACACGGTACAAGTAAGTGGAGACTACTTGCATTACTGTATGTAATATAATTTTTATGGATGTTGGCTTAATGGTTCATGCTGTTCAATTCGTTTCAAATCTCGTCCAGTTTCTCTTCAAGTGCTGTATAAAACTATTACTGCACTACATATATTTCACCTACTATGCTTATTAATCTCTTCTAATCACTGTGTAGACCAAAAGCTGATATTAAAGACAATTTGATCATTTTAAGATTTTGGGGGGAATGCATTTCAACTCTAGGAAAATTTGTATAGATTTATGAAAACTAAATTTACAAAAAGTTTTCAGGAACTTTTTTGAACCTGTCTGGTGAGCTCTCCTTCAAATTGAATCTAATACTAGATTGATTTGACATCTTTCCCCTTTACCTCCCATATTTCATGTCAATACCAGTATCTCACTTTGTCTTTCATAAACCACACTTATAACCGTAATGTTAAAGCCAAGTTCTATGTATCACGACTTACTTGTTGATGAAAACTTCAAGTCCTTTGCGTCTATCTTCAATAAATTCCTCTTCATATATGCCATCATCTCCTCGGAATGGTAGCTGCCTCTTTAGCGCTTTTCCAGGGAGAGGTGGAACCACAATCTGACAAAAATGATTTATCGTTATCTTAATATGTTTCTCTTTATCTGGACACGATTCTGATAAATGGACTATTGGAACACCATGGAGTGCAAGCTATTCAATATCAATGTGTCTTAAGTCACACAAAAGCATGAGGAGTCTGTTGTTAATGCACAATACACAGTAACAAACATCCACTAAACCTCAAAATGTTAAGACATATACTTCCAAGAGAGCATCATCATTAGGAAGGACAAGAAAAAAAAAAAAAAAAAATAGCAACATAACCCATTTTTCAGTACTTAATATTAGTTTTGTATTTGAAATAGTAATACAGTCTCGTCACTATTGCCACGTCCCTCTACCACGCACACTCAATCTTACATACAGAAGGTAAAAAATAAAATAAACCTAAAAGAGAATAATCTTTCTACGTGTGTTATGAGAAGACAGGAGTGAGAGAACTCAACTTTTCCGAGTTTATCTCCCATGTGTAGTGAATTTGACAAATTTCTTTGTCCAGTAGCAAAATAGAAATACAGTACAGTATAGTCTGGTTTTACGCGGTTAATTAAACCCATGGAGGACTGCGTGTAAAGCGAAACGCGTAAATAAAATAACAGAACCTATGGGATTAATTGAAATAAGAGACTGGGCCGACCGCCAGACTCCCCTTTTTTTGGCTATCGCCAACACAATACTGTACATTGGCCAGGTAGTTCAGGGCCTCTCGGGGGTGGTGGGGGTCCAGTGGAAGCCATTGTGTAGAAAGAAAAAAAAGCACTGGTTCCTGGGCACGAGTGATTATAAGTGGAGACAGTGAGACTGACGCGGCAGCGGAGAGCATGGGTGGCAAGGACGCCTAGACCAATCACAACGCGAGGAGGAGGGGTGTGTGGGTGGTAAGGATACGTGGCCCAATCACAGTGTGCGACGTCACCAGCGTGAGTCTGACGTCAGCGCCCAGCACCTTGCCCTGCTGCTTGCAGCGTACATGATGGAATTCACCGTGTAAATAATAATTATCACTTCTAACAGGTGCAGTGTAAATGACCTTCCACGTAAAAAATATCCGTGTAAAATCAGACTATACTGTATAGTATTTTTTGTTTTAACTTATTTATTGGTAGTAATTTTATTTATTCCTCACATTAACTGGTACTGTATATATTATTTTAAGAAAACTATGGCTAGAGGAGGAAAATACACAAGTTTTTTCCTAAATATTCCCTGCTGAAATGGGGTGTGTCTTATATGGCGTAAAATACAGTACTACACAGTTAAGAGCTACTGTGAGGTCTTGCTCTGCCATGGGATTGTATTCTAGTCTTGGTGGTGGTATCACATGTCACTTGACAAAGACATAGGTTATTGTAGATAAATACTTTATGCTACACCCTTAATACCAAACTGCTATTTTGGAGCCCTACTGTGAAAGGTAAAAACACAGTACAGTGTACTGTATATCAAGTTTGTTTAGGTACTTGAAAAATGAGTGATATTCTGGCTACCCTGTACTGTAGTGGAAAACAGCTGACAAGTTGAAAAAACTACAGTACAGTACTGTACTGTACTGTATATGAGAACCAACTTGACCAGCAGACTATGCAACACAATTATTTAAAATTTCTGCTATAAAGATCAGTGCTGCAACACAGACCTACAGTATAGCTTAACCCCCTACTTTTTGCATAAAAAATTTATCATAAAAACTGTATTCTAGTATTTACAGTAGACATCAATCCCTATCTACTAATTTTGCATTTCTCCCACCTCTCAAGATCACACTGACCAGAAAACCTCCCAAGTTAAAAAATAGGGAGGGGGGGGGGTTAAATTAATCCTGAGCTACTAAAGGTAATTCAAATTAAAAATTAAAAACAGTAACCACTACAATACATGAACTGTGTGACCACTACCCTGGTTAAACACTGCAAATCATAATGTATATGCAGAATTACTCTACCTTGCTGTCCCTTTCAAGCTCATTTCTTAACCACTCAAAATCGCTGTACCTCCTCCGTACGCTCGATTCCTTCACCTTAAACACTGGTAGGTTGGTCTGAAAGGTAGAATATATAATAATTAAGAATTCACAACAAGTCAGGTAATTAATCATCAGAATATGCACAATTAAATATTTATAAAGGAAAATTGAGAACTTACAATATTGCATGTGTAAGAATGCTAACAAAGCTAAAATGTATTGTGTAAGAAACTGAACCAAAAGCTAGAACATTAGACATACTGTATAAGAATGCCTACAATATCTTAAGCATAAAACTCAAGACATAAGTAAACAGCATTCATATACTGTAAAGTACTACTGTAAAGTGCCCAACACTTGGCATTTACTGTACACATGAACAGTGAGGAACAGTTCAAATTATGGATATGTAAAGAACAAGTCTCATCAAGTGTAAGTGGAGTGGGAACATAATAAAAGGAAAAAATAAAGGAAAGGTGGGAGATCAAATGCATGAATAACGGACAGATATACAGCTCCTCCCCGACTTACGATGCGGTTAGGGACCCAAATCCAGGACGTAAGTAGAACTGATCGTAAGTTGAAAATGCTTAAATAATACATAGAAAATCTAAAATGGGTGTCTCTTTCTTCTCAGCACCACAAAACTCTCACTTTTAAGCTTACCAGCCATTTTAAAGTGAATTACAAACAAAAATTTTGTCTATGTACTGACGTTGGGACTCGAAAATACGTAATTTGACAAAATTTTGGTACGACTGAGGCAGGTCGTAAGTGCGGGTGGTCGTAAGTCGGGGAGGAGCTGTCAGTCATGAGAATCTGTTAAGAGCATCAGCAGGATATTCTTAGATGCCCTGATTAATGAGGGTGAAAGGTACAGTATACTGTATTAACATCAGATCAAGATTTGTAATTTAATCTCTCAGCCTCACTTGTTGCCATTATGGCGTCGGACATAAAAGGCGAAAAACTTTATCTCGGCTATATTTTCAAATATGCTTATCCTGCATCGAGTACTTGGCAAACTTAACTCCCTTATGATAGTCCAGCTTCTCCTTTTCCTTATTTGGCTGCTTAGGTGGGTCTGTCCCACCAGCACCAGTAGGACCCCCAGTAGAGGTAGAGGCCATTATCTTGACTCAACAGGTGGTAGCCCCACCCAAAACAGCACACAATACCAGCCCAGGCGGTGGCTAGGATGGCGCAGGCTACAACGCGATAGTTGCGTTCTTGTAAACGTCTTTTAAGTTCACTACCAGCAATTCGATCACCAGAACGCTTCTTGGAAATATTCTTCTTACCTTGTCTTTCTGTATTCATTGCAAACACTAACAAAATAGGAGAAAATAGCGAAAATCATGGAGCAATCAAGAGAAACCGCACAATTCAACTGATCACGTCATGTAAACAGAGAGTGCTGGTGTAAACCGTTATTAGTCCTCACTGTGAAACATTCTTTTCATACAGTATTTATAGGCAACAGCTAAAAAATAAAAAATTTACAGAGTATCTCTTAAAACACACGTCACAAACAAAAGACACGAATCAATTGAACATGTGGTGTCGAAAGTGAACTGTAAACATGCATAACTCCACGCCACGCTTAAAATGTTGAGGATGGAATCGCACTATAGCCAACATTCGCACGCAAAAGTTCGCATTTTACAAACAGCGTTCCCTTATTCATCAATCGCGTTGCAACCAATTCGTGTTGACAAAACATGCGTTGCAGTAGAAATGACCAACTGGTATGAGGGTTGTGATGTCATTCAAGACAGTGGCCAGCATTCAGCTGGCTGGATCTCGCAAAATTCACTAATATTTTACGCCAAATATAGGACTTGGTTACATCAAGTAGTGTTTGCGAAATGAAATCGCACGAAATATGAGATCTTACTGTAGTGTATTTTTTGCAAGTTCTTACAGAGGGTTCATACAACAAAACAAATAAAAGAAAATCAGGGGACAAAATCAACAGTGGTGTACAGGAGTGCCAAGTGCAACAGGCAACAGTGGTCCCCTCCAGGTCAACTGCAGCACTTCCTAGGCTTCTTCACCTTCACCGTACTTAACCTCAATCCCAACACACTCACAAAACCTGGCGTTTCATGCTAAAACAATACAGTACAGTATTTGTGAAACCTGAAAATGTACCATATTCCATGCAATCTTAATTTTTTAATTTACATCAGCATCATGTTTTATTCTTTCCAATTTATTATTCAAAATACATAAGTTATGTAATCTTATTTTCCAAGCAGTATATTGAATGGTATATCAAATTTATTAACACAACATATGACAGAAGTATTATCAGAACTCCAGTTCTGATTTCCCGAGATGAACAAGGCCTTATTCCAGTACTGTACTGTACAGTACAGTATATGGCAACCGAAAAGTTTGGAACCAAGAGGCTTCCATAAAATAGATAATTACAGGGTATATATAAATAGATACTGTACTATCATGAACATGTGTCTAAGGAAAGCATATGAGGCACATGGAACTGAAGTAGGACAAGCACCGTAAATGAAAAACAAAGAAAGTGCAGTTAAAGTTTACGAACCTTCAAAATACCATAACTTTGGAGCTAGTGAAGTCATTGTAGTGAATTAAGTGGTAGATTGTAGCATTGTTAGAGCAAATTTAATTGATACTAGTAAAAGACATCACACATTGTTTTTGGGTGTACTGGTGCTTCTACTTCAGTTCTGTGCTCCTCATAACCCACAGTACAGGTATCCCTCACTCTACAAATGTACACTATAATACTACACCTCTTTCTTACTATCCAGAAGTGATATTTGCTTATACAAAAAATGATAGGGAACAGAACCCATTAGAATAGTGAGGGATGCCTGTACAGTACTTGTGACAATATGGTTTTATTATTAGTTTCTGAAAATATACTACAGCTGTATATGTACTATACACCAAATAATTTCCTCTGAAAATAAATTTGGTAATTATTAACGACTGACCCACCGCCAATTTCTCATTAAAAACGAATTTAAAAACACTGCAATTTCACAGTGCTTTATAGTGGACACCGATGTGAAGGTAAATGTTTTCAAAAGTGGTTATTTCTAAATTAAACCTAACCTTAGTTGATATGAAAAAAAAGAGGCAGAAGTGTTGTTAGAAGACCTCACTAACCCAACCAAAGAAAACTACATAATCTTACCTAATTTCCTAGCCGTGAGGCTAACCCTCCTAACCCCCCCAGCACATTAAATAAAGCACTTACTATGATATGGTGTAATTTTATTTTTTTTGTGGACGTGAGAGCAGCCGCCCGGTTAGTGTGGCTCATAAATATACACTGGCGACTGCCATCGATCAAAGATGATTGGCTGTGTACCGCTGCATCACCGCCGAGAAAGACAAAGTAGTGTGCACCAGACAAGTGGTGCATGCCTAGTTGTTTAATTATCTACCAAAGAAAGCAATTCCCCCCCCAAAAAAAAATTGATTATCATATCACAAGTCACTGATGAAAATATAGTAAGAATATAAACATCAAAACAAATAACGTGTCAGCGGGTTGGTCGTCAATATTAGCCATAAACTTTTCTACAGTCTAAACATGGCTTTTGCCATCTTCCTCCGCCAATTTTGGACATAAAAAATGGAAGGTCGAGAGCTGTTACTCCATGCACAGAAAAATAAACATTGTAAAGTAAATTATTGCAAAACGTATTCCTTCTGTTTCTCGAGGTAAGAAGGCTTTTATTTAGTATGGAGATATTTTTTCAGGTAGTTGTTAAGGCCAGACCATTCTCAACACATAGTACCTTAAAATGAACAAAAAATATGCATCACGATAGGCAGTCAAATTTTCTGTCAATTTCAATCTCCATTTAACCAGCCGAGATGCAGAGTTACAGTAACGTTTTACTGGTCTCCTCTAAATTAATAATAAAAGGCAAATTCTTTGGCTCAGTTTGGGCACAATTTCATAATCACTCAAAACATGTCTTTTACGATCACAACCTTCCCAAAATATTGGGTCAAGTTTAATTACATTAATGATGAAGACTTGAACTTAACCTGATTAATGATATCCAACTCCTGCATGTAGGTTATTCTGTACTCCAGTATTCCTAATTTATATTCAGGGTTTCCAGAATCAGGCAAGATATTCAGAACACAACATTAAGATTTTTAATTCATGGTCGTAAATATCTCAATTTTTAATGCGACAAATATCGTACATGTTAATGTGAGTCACAATACAATTAACTGAAACATATTGTTAAGTTTCCCCCGACTACCACATCCGTATATGAATAACATTAATGATGATTCTCAGGTATCCGCCCCTTGCACCCTCACCATGACTCCTCACACACGTCACATGACCTTATGAAAGCAAATCCATTCTATATTAACTACATCGCCTGCACCAGAAACAAAATTTCCATAAGCCTTGAGGTTAACCATCACTCTACTAATCCACAAAATGAGAATTACAGGAAGGAAAGAATGATGAAACACCTACCCGCATCCGAACTTCGTAGTCCGTATATCTTTTGTTGCCGACACCGTGGGTGATAGGGTTCACTACATCTATTTCTAAAAAGTTGGCCGGGGCCGCGTATGCATCATCTAAGGTTTGCTTCTTGGAGACGAGGCGACGAGTGGAGTCGTTGGTCATGTCAGCCATGTTCACGGCAAGTCACAACACCGAGTCCACCCACTGTCATGAATGCCATCGGGAGCAAGTAGGAAGTCATTGTGGAGGTGAAATACCAACACACACTTAATTATCCCCTATGGAATAATATATTTAAAACTGTTCCAAACAAAACACTTTTATGTAAGATTTTTTGTGAATCATATGAATGAAAATTCGATAGTTTGTCAAAAGTTAGCATTGAATTAGATTTTTTATCCATTCAAATATTCTCTCTCAAGATGGCAGCACTTTCACCATCACAAACATTGTTAGAGAACTACTTAATTGGCAGACTATGCTAAATAACTCTTTCCGTTGTTTTTCTTAATTTGTGAATGTCTTACATCATATATGACTGCCTTTCTAATTATTTTGTAAATAATATCGACCTACGTAAATAACTTGTACTTAGACATGTATAATAGGGAAGATAACAGGTAGTTATTATAATATGTAAGTAGAGAGAAAGGCATGTCGCTCATTTGGACAGCATTTATTAAGACCTCTTATTAACAGACCCAGTACAATGACCCCAATACTTCTTGGTCCGATATATCGTGACGTATTGTTTTCCTGGCCGTCGACAGCATAGCTCATACGGCCTTATTTTAAGAACTGCTATTTTGTTCGTATTATTTATAATTTTTAACTCCTTGATTATTCCTTTCTGGCAATACAGTATGTTGATTGATTCTCAGAAAACTTTGTTTCATAACATGTAAACACAACCACAGTTACACACATATCAGGGGTGGATCCAGAAATGTGAGAAGCGGGAGGGATGAATGATTCTGTGTAATTCATTAAAAACAAAAATCCATTATTATCAGTACTTTATTAGCTACACAAATTATTATATATTTTTTTAAGATAACTTTGAGAAATATCGTCTCGAGCGCAAAGACAATATTATCGTGTATGGTGTTATTAAGAGCCAGTCAGACAAAGCTGAAAGCAGAAAAACACACAAGGTGAACTTTCAGAAAATATGTACAGGAGCTCAAAATATATCAACTACACCTAACGAAATAGTTAGGGTGGGGGGAAAGCTGGAGAATAAGCCAGGCCCCCTCAAGATCATAGAAGAATGTAAAGAAACAAAGTGGGATATACAGTATAGTGTTCAACGGCAGGCAACAAACTTGGCAACGAATTCGAATTCATCGTTTCGGAACATTTTCATAATTCCAGATGGCACAGAAGGAACAACACAAGGAACTGAAGGAGAAATGAGAGGGGGGATTGACTTGGTGGGTTATATAGAGGGGGGAAGTCGTGGAGGGGCGGATGTAATGACCCAGCTGTTGATGGCCAGCAAATCAAATGCAGCAAGCAAACAGTGGAGGAAAAAGCAACAATACAGAATCAAGGGACTGGACAAGAAGGAACAGCAAGTCAATCCCCAGCCCCACCGTCCCCACGACCTCCCACCCAGCGCTCAGTGTAGATACGACAGTAACTATATAGTATATCTGACCACACCCCAAACTATATGGTGGAAAGGGTGAACGAGGCAGCCACTGGGAATGAAATGAGGCCAGAGATTCAACACAAAGTTCAGAGCCACTATCACGAATTACTGTATATTTCCGGTTTGAAAGTTGCCCATCCAGCTAACACAATGAACGAGTTGTCGGTTTGGAGTAAACACAAGATATACACTGCCACGTTCGTAGAGTGATGCGATATATATATATATATATATATATATATATATATATATATATATATATATATATGGTGAGTATATTAGGAGTTATGAGATATTGGTTTACACTCAGGATGGGATGGATAAAGGAAACTCACAATGTGCTCACTGTATACATATTGTATTGGATGTACAATGCAGCTTGTTGCTGGGTAGGTAGCATGGTAATAAGCATTGAGTAGAGAGAGCTGGGTGGTGAGGGTGCCCAGAGTGAGGGCACGCGGCTTGAGGGACGCCAAGGTCGCTGGCGGGAGCGGCAGCCGCTAAGCTGGCACGGAGGTGTTTGCTTTACTTTTTTTTTTTTATCTTGCCACTGATCGGCTTGTTAGCTGCTTGGGCGATCGGTCACGTCTCTTCCTTTTATATTCTTCACCAAAGTGTCGGCTCCTGCTAGCCGCCCAAGGATCGGTGGTCACGTCTCTGGGTCACCGCACTGTTGGCAAGTAGTGGCATGCACCGGGTCCTTAATGTACCTGAACCTGCTCCAGTGTTGGTCAAGTCTGGTCTTGAAAGAGCTCACACTCGGTGCCGCCACAACACTCTCTGGTAGATTGCTCCAAGAGTTTACAACCCTCACTCCGAAAAAGTTTGCCCTCACAGTTTTCTAGACCTGCTGCTTCTTCAATCTTGAGCTGTGACCCCTTGTGGGGCGAGCGTCCGCCAGCTCCAAGTAAGGACACTCAACTGAGTAGTGCCCCTTGAGATGCTTATAAACCTCAACTAGGTCCCCCCTTGCCCGTCTGTAGTATAAGCTAGGCAAGTTCAGGCGCTCCAATCTCTCAGGGTAGCTGAGATGCCGAAGTGCAGGCACCAGTTTGGTGGCCCTCCTTTGAACATTTTCAACCAACTGACAGTCCCTAGCATATCTCGGGGACCAGATGGGGAAGCACTTCACTCCTGAAGATCGTCACGAGGGACGGACCGTCTAGATATCTGAACGACCTTCTTATAAGACCCAATAATTTATTTGCCTGATTTACCTTCTTTTCACAATGGCCCGAGAACTTCAGCTCATTGTCAACATACACACCTAGGTCGTTCTCACACACAGTCTCAACTAGTACATTTTCTTCATCCCGTTGGGACATATGGTACGCCTCCTTACCGTTGGTACGCCCCAGGTGCATCCTCTTACACTTCGTGACATTGAATCTCAGCAGCCATTCCTTCGACCATTCCTGGAGCCCACAGAGGTCCTTCTGCAGCTCTTCACAGTCCGCTTGGTTCTTAATTTCCTGAAATAACTTGGCGTCATCGGCAAACATTTGTATGGAGGAGTGTACAACGTCAGGCATATCATTTATGAAACAAACAAACAACAGCGGGCCCAATACACTACCCTGCGGTACCCCACTTGTTACAGGTACAGATGACGATTTCGTGCCATTAATCACCACACACTGCTTGCGGTCATGTAGAAAGTCTTCTATCCACGCTAGGACATTTCCCCGAATTCCGTGCCCTTCCAGTTTGATTTTCAACCTTTCGTGGGGTACACTGTCGAAAGCCTTGGCAAAATCTAGGTAAATATTGTCGATATTACCACCCCGTTCTAGAATATGGGTCCAAATATCCAATACCTTGAGCAATTGTGTCAAGCAAGAGCGCCCCGGCATAAAACCGTGTTGGCAATCTTTTACAAGGTTGTTTCGCAGTAGATGTTCCATCGCTGCATCTCTGATAATACTCTCAAGTACTTTACATATTATGCTGGTCAGGCTCACCGGTCTATAGTTGTTCGTGGAGTGCCTATCGCCCTTCTTGAAGATAGGACTCACATAAGCCACTTTCCATTCACTGGGGACCATTTGTTCATCCAGGCATTTACAAAACAGAATCTTCAGGGGCTCTGCAAGCTCGTTGCACAGCTCTTTTAGCACTCTAGGATGCACCATGTCAGGTCCGGGACTCTTATGGACCTTTAGCCTGGACAGTTTATTTCTAATACCCTCTTCTGTGAACACAATGTGGGTCAGTGCTGTGTCGAACCGTCTGTCCTCAAACGCAGGAAGGTTAGTTGCATCCTCTCTTGTGAACACTGAGGAAAAGAAGCTGTTCAATGCCTCAGCTTTATCCTGGTCAGAATCAGCGTAACTACCATCTTCAAGCCTCAGGTCTGATACTCCTACTTGCGTTTTCAATTTCGACTTTGCATAGCGGTAAAACGCCTTTGGGTTTGACTTGACCTCGCGTGCAACCAGCCTTTGGAACTCCTTTTCAGCCCTCCTACACTCTATCTTTGCTTGGTTTCTGGCTCTTGCATACATCCTCCTGTCTTGCTCATCGTTTGACCCAACCCACGTCTTGAATTTCTGGGTTTTCTTCTTAATTTTGTCGACCGCCGCATGGTTCATGTGTAGGGATCCTCTCGTATTCCTGGAAGCACTGGGTTTGGTCTTGGGTATATATTTATCGATCAAATGGGTCATTTTACTAGTTATGATATTCAGCGTAGTTTCTGCGTTCTTGTACCTTAATAAGTCAGGCCAGTTGATACCCCTCATCTCTTCCCTCATCCCATTGTAATTTCCCTTGTAATATTTGCACCTTGGCCTGGCCTTATCTTGAACTAGGTAACAGTTAAATCTGAATGACAACACTGTATGGTGACTGGTGCCAACTGGGGCAAGGTGTTCCAGTTTGGCCACCATACCCTCCTCGTTTGTTATGAGGAGGTCAAGTGGCTTGGGTGTTTGCTCCCCTCTGTAATGTGTCGGGTCTCTCACATGTTGGAACAGAAAATTATCTCTCAGAGTTTCTACAAAAAGAGTAGCAGGATTATTCAAGTCATTCGGGGTTGACTCGTTTCTCCAGTCGATGTCGCCATAGTTAAAGTCCCCCATGATAAGGAGGTGGCTGGGGTTGAGCATCGCCGCATTGTTTATTAAGGTTCTTAAGTTCCTTTGATTTAGTGGGCCACAGTTCGGGGATCTGTAGATACACCTGACGATAAGTAAGTCCCCTCCCTTTAATTTAATTTTACACCACTTGGACTCTTCAAAGACATCCTCTCCCTGTACCCTCGCCTGGCTGGCTCTAAGGTCTTGCCTAGCGTAGATAACCACACCCCTCCTGCAGGATTCTTGAGTTAGGTTCGTAAATGAGTCATATCCAGCAATACTGAACTCACATTTCTCTGGGTCGATTCTCCTGTTCTTGTACAACAGTTCTACAACTCCTACAATATCTGGTTGGTGTACTCTTAGTAGTGTTTCAAACTCCTCCCTCTTATCAAGGAACGTGTCAGTATTAGTGTACATGACATTCAAGCCAGAATTTGTTCTCGGTAACGTCTCTGCTCTTAGTAATAAACCCGCTCCACCCACATTCTCAGAAG